CTCTCTTTATTTCCCTCTTCTTTTGCCTTGAAGCAAGAGGCAAGAGGAGGGGGTGTACGGTTTGTTTTTCGTTTTGCACATTTGTTTTCCTTTGCTGAGTCTGCCTGAGAGAGGGAGGTGGGGCAAATGGGTGACTTGCTCCTGCAGAATAGCCGGAGTATATGGCAGCTATGCAGATATACTTTCTGTCCTGCTCTGAATTGTGATTTTGAGTTGGCCATAGTGAATTGACCAGTGAGTTGGCCATGGTGAGTTGCCATGGTGAGTTGGCCATGGTGAATTGGTCATGGTGAATTGGCCAAGGTGAGTTGGCCATGGTGAGTTGCCATGGTGAGTTGGCCATGGTGAATTGGTCATGGTGAATTGGCCAAGGTGAGTTGGCCATGGTGAGTTGCCATGGTGAGTTGGCCATAGTGAATTGGCCAGTGAGTTGGCCATGGTGAGTTGCCATGGCGAGTTGGCCAGTGTGTTGGCCATGGTGAGTTGCCATGGTGAGTTGGTCATAGTGAGTTGGTCATGGTGAATTGGGCAGTGAGTTGGCCAAGGTGAGTTGGTTGTGGCGAATTGTCATAGACCCTCCTCTGATTGCCCCATAACAACACCTTACCTTACAAACATAGAGTCACAGGATAAAAGCACATACTTGTGGTACCAGGTGGTCTTCATGGCATCTGTGTAGTACTTTACTTCACTGTAGATCTTGATGCCTTCTACAGTTGGCTGCACTTTCAAAGGTGATGCGGAAAGAACTGATAAAAAAAGAGAGAGATACTTCAGAAAGACAATTAGGCCTGCCCTGACAAAGTAAACTAATTCTAGTTCTTTACAGTAAGGACAGGAACCCAGGGGCCCTCCAAATGTTTGGGATCTATCTCCCATAAGCCCATAGTCCCATAATCAATCCTGGGATTGATGAGAATGGAAGTTCAAACCCAAACTGAGTTGCAAAGAAAGCCACTTTATAGAACGGGAATCCTATTTCTTGTGCTTTGGGCACCATAAGTGCCACCAGAATAGGGTCCAAAGGTCAGCAACTTACTACTGATTCTGGCCAGCTCCTTGAGGATGTCATCAAATGCTATAAAACAGAATATAACAGTAAAAAATAGCACCATATATCAAGCAAGCCACTGTAGATATTGTTTAGTTGTGTCCGGGCTAAACTTGGGTTTCCTTAGACATTTATTAGTGACTATTGAATGACAAGGAAATGTTTCATTTAGATCAGGACCAGGTAGCCTTCAGCCTCAGGAATACATGTGATTCCTGACCTCAGGGGTCCTTCCAATCACAACTTCCCAAAAAACAATATCATAGTTTTGTACTGTTTAGAGGCAGGAAACCCATACAAGTGGAGATCAGTCTCTAACTGAAAGAACAAAAAAATTTTTTTTCTTTTTACTCCATCACTGCAAACTTTCTCAAATCCAGGTTAAAAAAAGAGCCAGTTCTCCCCTATTTTACACCATCACATTGTTAGGAATGGGGGCTCACATGGTTAGGACCAGTGGTGGGATTCACTTACCTTCGCTACCGGTTCGCAAATGTGAACATTCTCGCATGCACAGACGGTCGCGTATTACGTTGTGGGTGGAGCGGAGCCTCCATCAGCCACTGCTACCAGTTCGGCCGAACCGATAAGAACCGGCAGAATACCACCACTGGTCAGGACGCTGGGTTGGAGGTTAGCAAGCCCACATTCGAGACCCAAGTGCTGCTGTGTAATATCACCAGCTAATCCTTTTCACCAAACAGGATGGAATCACGTTGTTCAGACCACTGGTGGGTTCCGGATCCCGTTGCAACCGGTACGGTTGCAATGAGGCCCAGTGTGCACTACATGAACACACGCAGTGCACATGCGTGCAATGCATGCATGGTTACTTACTTCTTGCGACGCATCCGTGACGCTCCATCTGCTCGATGGAGCGTCACGCAGGTGTTGTGTGCTCCGTGCGCGGAAGCGCCAAAGTGCTCAACTACAGGTAAGGAGCTCAGGCGGGCGGGTGGGCCCTCCGGAGCACTGTACCGGAATGATACCTGGTGCTCCGGGCAGGCACCGGTACTCCCGTACCGGGGCGTACTGCCTGCAACCCATCACTTCAGACATTCACAACAATCAAATGGCAATCTTTGGAGGAAGGTTAAGCCAAGAGATCGCCATCCTTCCTGGCTAAAGATAGCGTAGGTGCTAATGTAAGATCCCAATCACAAACTCCACTGACTCTTGGAAATGATCTCTACAACAGACCAGCTTCTTTGAAAGACTGCTTATGCGCTGCATGGTTTAATGAAAATGTTATATCAGTAAAATCTTGGCAATGCCTCTGAATTCATGTGGTGTCATTCTCAGCCCTCGTCAGCTAACTCAGGGGTTGGCAACCTTAAACTGGGAGAAACCCACCTCTGGCCCTTGTGCTCTCTCAGCTTTGTGGTTTTCCTGAAGATGTTTTATTACCCTACAGCAGGGGTCGGCAACCTTAAACACTCAAAGAGCCATAAAGGTCCTAAATGGAAGCCCCCCATTCAATTCTGAAGTCTACTTCCCCCCTCATAGAGCCTCTTCCTAGCATGGCATCCTTTTTCCTCTTCTGACCAGAAGTCGGTTCCCCCACCATAGAGTCTCCTCCTAGCGCGGCATCCATTTTCCTCTACCTGTCCTAACCGAAAGCCCTATCAATTGTGGAGATGACTGGCAACAGGGAGCCACAGAAGAGGGATGAAAGAGCCACATGCGGCTCCAGAGCTGTGGGTTGCTGACCGCTGAGCTAACTGATTGTGAACTGGAAAAATCTTACATATTTTCCCCAGCCCTCTGAGTCAGATAGAGATCCTCAGCATGCAAAGCAAAGGAGTATTTGAAAATCTTTCTTCTATCTTAACTTTTTCTCCTTGCTGATTGTCCATGCTGAATTCAAACTCTCCTGCTCTCTTTTGGCCAAATTGGGTGAAAATCATGCAAAACATCATCATCAGAGCACCAGATTTGGGAAGTCTGATCTGAATGAACCAATAATATTTCAGCCAGGGAGGAAAAAAGGATTGTACCTTCCTTTGTAAGATCAAGTTGGGTTATGTCTTCTCCACGGTCATCCGAAACCACAGCTTTGTAGAATCCTTTGTCTGCTTTGGTAACCTAGCAAAATATAGAGACGATAGTCTGGGTTCACACAACACATTGAACCCTAAATCCAAGTTAGAAAAACTCAGTTGCAGCTGTGCACCTGTATTCCGCAATGACCAAATGAATGAACTATGTCCGTGATGGCGAACCTATGGCACGCGTGCCAGAGATGGCACACAAAGCCCTCTTTGTGGGCACGCATGCCGTCGCCAGCTGCTCTTTTTCGGGCTGTTTTTCCGGGCTGTTTTCAGGCTGAAAAATGCCCCCCCAAACAGCCAAAAAAACAGGCATGTGTGCACAGGTCAGCTTTGGGATTCCGGCACTCTGGAACGTGGACATGGACGCACGTTCTCGCACTCGGTGGCGAAAAGGTTCACCATCACTGAACTGTGTGGTTGTTTAATGTGGTGGCCTGGCTCATACTATGCGTAAAAGACCAGCTGAGTTCCTACATTACACACAAAGCACAAAGAAGCCCAGCTCTTTTCAGTTAGTGTAGCATGTTGTGTGAACGCAGATACAAATTAGAAAATGAAGTATCTTGAAATGGCCCAGAAAATATCAACTGATGGATGACCGTATCAATTTATTTAAAAAAATGTTTTTGGAACGTTCAATATCTATGGGTACAGATGGGCCAGAGTCAGTGTCAGAGTCTCATATTGCCATTCCCTGTAACTGTACGATGAACAGTTGCAGGAACTAGGTAGGTATGTCTAGTCTAACAAAGAGAAGGACCTGGGGGGACAAAATTTGAGGAGCTGTCACAGAGAAGATGGGGTCTATCTTTTTTCCAAAGCACCCGAGGGGCAGATGAGAAGTAGCAGCTGGAAACTTATCGAAGAGAGATCCAACCCAGAACTAAGGAGAAATTTCCTAACAGTGAGAACAATGGATCTGTGGAACGACTTGCCTCCAGAAGTGGGTGCTCCAACACTGAGTTTTTTTAAAAAGAGATTGGACAGCCATTTGTTTGAAATAGTATAGGGTCTCCTGCTTGAGCAGGGGGTTGGACTACAAGACCTCCAAGGTCCCTTCCAGCTCTATTATTCTTCTAAAAAGAGAATGAAACAGCCCTAATTTGAGGGTGTTCCTCGCTTCTTACTCATTTTGTACAGTATTTTTCTAACATTTCTCTTGATGAAGAATTCTGCAGAACTCAAAAGTTTGCACACTTTTTACTGCTATTTTGCTTGTTTGGTCCTAACAAACACATCGTCCAGTTATGGACTGTTTACCTAGTAGGTTCTCCACCAGTATGTTTTAAAAGATCCATGATGGGTGAAGAAGCCATACCTTCTCCCATTTGTAGGTAACAGTAATGGGGAAATAGCATTGCCTGTGGAATTTGAATTTCTAAACTGGCACGGAAAAACAAAACACCAGCTCTGTTCTTTCATTTACTACATGCCATTTCTTTCCTATTTTGGCAGGTAATTTTAATTTAATCATTAATTGTTACTCAGGATAAACCTACCCTTTTAATCCGTAGGATTCCAGATCCTGTATTTGAATTATATTGACCATCTGAGCGGGCTTTGTTGTCAAAAAACCATTGAAAAGAAGTATCCTTCTTCATGTTTGCTGCCTAATGAAAGGAATGAATGAATGAATGAATGAATGAATGAATGAAGGAAGGAAGGAAGGAAGGAAGGAAGGAAGGAAGGAAGGAAGGAAGGATACTTAATTTTGATAAATACTTGCTCACTAAATTTTGGGAAGCTGCATTTTAGCATTATAAAACTTGTTACAAAAATTTGAAGCATGTGACGTCCAGCATACAAACTTAATAGATACAAAACTCAAGGTAAACCGCCCCAAACTCGATTTCAGAAAATACGACTTCAGCAACGGAGTGGTCAGTGCCTGGAATGCTCTACCAGACTCTGTGGTTTCATCCCCAAACCTTAACCTTAGACTGTCTACTGTTGACCTGACCTCATTCCTAAGAGGTCTGTAAGGGACGTCCCTGTCCTACTGTCCCCACTTATTCATATCCATTTCCCGTATTCATAATCATGTTTATATTTATATCTGTTATCTCATACATGCTTGACAAAATAAATGAATGAATGAATACATGAATCAATGAATAAAAACAAATTTGCAAAACAAGACTAGGTCCAGTTGTTCTGCATGAAGCCATTCACCATTCCTATCCCAAAGAAGGAAGTTTAGCCTTTTTTTTCAAAGATCTTCCGTTCTGCATTTTACCCTGGCTGAGATATTGTGGAGGTGGCTCTCTAAGACCCCCCAAAGTTCCTGGGATGGGAAACTCACTGGACTAACACCTACATCTTAGTGAGAATAACATAAATTTGCCCTTTGTGCCCTGG